ATAAGCAACGTTGAGGTTCAAGAAGAGTTTCAAAGACACGGAAAGAAAAAAAGACTAGATACAGACCAAAAGTGAAGTTAGAACCTCAAAGAGATGTTTTATGAGGTTAAGTTCAAGCAGGGATTAAATCGTAATTTTAGAAAGTTACTGGCCAATAGGGCTAAGAATGGAAAGTATACAGAAAATTCCAAAAATTCCAAAAAATAGAAAATATTATCCTAAGACTCTTTTGTGAAGAGAAATGATAAAAATACCCCTGAGGTAACTTAAATAGAATTTACAAGATTATGACTCGGTAAAAAGTACACAGATTGAGGTAATTATTTGAGATAGCAATAGATCTAAAAAAATATACGTAAAAATGAGGTTAGGAAGCTTAAAGGCTATGTTAATTTATAAAATTATTCTCGCTTCTAGAAGATCAGCAGAATGACTAGAGTAAAATAGAAGGCTCAATTATGCAGGTTAAGAGCATTTTAGTAAATGATTTTTATGCGAGACTTAAAAGAAGTGTTATGCTTGGAGAAAATTCATAGATCTTTTTTGGAACTAAAGAAAATTTATGAAACAAACAGAAGAATTTTTTGAGCTCCAGAAAGCCAATAAGAAAGCCAAATAAATGTGACCCAAGTAAATTGGAAGGAAACTTAGAGATTAAATTTGATCCAAAGGCCAAGATCTATCCTTCCATTCATCTCCATTAGATTTGTGCCACCTAACTCTCTTCTAGAAGGATGATGTAAGAGATGATGCAAGAAGATGATGCATTGATAATGTAAAAGTGCACTTAAAGTTTCAAGTTTGCTCTTACAATTTCTACCAGCTTTCAAGGGCATAATAGTTCATTAAACGTATAAGTTTTGGCTATAAATACCTCCTTGGAAGAGCATTTTGGCAAGTTTTTTTAGAGAGAAAACTTTGTCAAAATTTAGAGAGAAAATGTGGGAGTGAAGGCCAAGAAGAAGGAACAAAATTCAAGCTTCAAGATCAATGTATATGATGATTCTAGCACCTGTCTTGATGCCTATTTTGATTAAGTTACTGTTTATATCGGATTCTGAAATTTGACATGATTAAAGTACATTCTCTAAGCTTTAAATCCATAGGTATAACACTTCATTTAGATATGTGTACGATTTATGATAATTTTTCAAAGTTAAGGCTTAAAATCTGGAAACAGTTTTGACTATTAGAGTAGGAGGAAATTTCCGTACAATTCTAGTGGAAGGGGTTTCTCTTAACGAAAGCACCATTTGTTATAATCTCAAAATTTAACAAGAGTAAAAGAAATTATAGAGCTATAGAAATTGAAAATGAAAAAAGGGCATAACCACAATTACGGAAGATCAAGGAGAAGTAGCAGATAAGAAAATCCAATCACAAAGATAGTGACATGGCTAGAGAGAGAAGACACATGAGAGAGAAGGAAACTTCATAAATCCATCCCTTCTCACGGTTCCTTCCCTTTCCTCTATAACGTATGGTCATGTTTGGTACGCTGCACTAGATTTCAAGGGAATGAGAATAGGATTGGCATTGTGATTAGTATTAGGATTGAGACTGGGATTGAATTGTAAAATTACGTTTGGCATGTCATGGGATTGCTTATAGGATCAATGAATTAGAAAAAGAAAAAACAAAATAAAAAATACAAAGTGCCTAAAATACCCATAAAAAAACCCATCATCCTCTCCCTTCCTCACGCCTTTCTTCTTCTTCTTTACCTTACTTTGAAGCAAGCTTTAGATCCAACATAAACTCCAAAATCCAAATCTGTCTTCGAATGTCTTATTGTACTAGATTTAGATTTAGATCTGTTCAAGAAATCACCTTTGTCAAAAAAGCTGGTGACTGTCAACAATGGAGGATATCCAAGATCAAAATCTATCTTCAAAAAATTAATTGTACTAGATCTAGATTTATATGCATAAAACTAAGATCCAAATCTATTCAAAAAATCACCTTTATCAAAGAAGCTGGTTGCCATTGACAATAGATGATGACGGTGGCCGCCATTGTTTAGGATGGTTGTGACGAAGCTAGAGGTAGAGGACAAAGTTAGTCGCCATCGATAATGGACAGATTCGGAGTAGGTGCTCTCATAATCGTTAACATCAATGGATTCTGAATGCTTCATAATACTAGTTGTTTGTAATATCTTGCCATCGACCTTTGCAAGCAGTGGAGGATGAGGCCAACAATGGAGGTCGAAGTTGACAATGGGTACACAATTGGGAGGGAAGAGAAGGAGGGAGATTGATAAGACATATGGATAAGGGAGAAACAAGGATGGGTAAGGGGTAACTTGGTCCCAAAAAGTTCAATCCCAGGATTGATTTTCCAATACCAGGGGGTAGGGTGGTACTAGGCAATCCCATGAAAGGTGGTATTGGGGAGTCCTGGGATTACTGAGGTCCTTACACCAAACATCACAAAATGAGCATTCCCAATGCCAATGCCAAAGTCAACCCCTTTAGTACTATGTACCAAACAGAGCCTATGTTCTTCAAACCAATGTTTTAAAAATCGGACCGGATGTTAAACTGGAGAAGCCAACGAGTCACGGTTCATTCGGTCGGACTGGTCAGACCGGTAACATAATAATTAAATAAAAAATAATATTAAATACTCTATACTTATATATATAATAAAATATCAAGTTATCAAATAATTTAAAAAAAACTTAAGTGGCTTAATTTTATGATAAATTGACAACTTATAAGGGAATAATATATCTCAAAATCGCATATGTTTATATCTTGGATAAAAGTAAAAATTAAATAAACAATGTGTGAATTTCAAAAAATTTAATAAAAGTAAAAAAACAAAGAATCAAAAAATAAGGGAGGGAAAAAGAAAGTGCACAAATATCTTGAATTTAAAAAGATGCTGGATGGTCATTCAAAATGTCAGAGTAATGATAGGATTCATTTGCCTTGATGAATGTGTTTAGCTAGTGGGTGAAATTAAATTTATGTACATTGAAAATAGTAAAATGGCAGAAGAAAGAGAGTATGGATAATTATTTTTTTTTTCCTGTGTTAGTTCTCGGTCTTCCCTTCTCATTTTTTCTCGTCTTCCCTGTATTTCTTCTTTCTTCTTCCTCCGAGCTCAAGCATATGGGAAGGCCATGGTTAGCAAATGGTTCAGGTTTTATTTGATTTCATCGCCAATTTTTTCCCCATATCTGTTATTATTAAAGGAATCATTTTTTTTGTTATTATTAAAGAGGAAAAATCATAAAGTAGGCACTGGTTTTTTTTGCTGCTTCCTCCTCCTCTGCCCCTCTTCCTCCTCCTTCTTCTTCTAAACCCCCTTCTCATGATCGTCCGGTTTTTGAATATCCGTTCCAGTTTCCAGATCAAAAGTCGGTTTTTATCGGCTCAACACGGGCTAACCTCTGAAATGGCTGCTAACTAGAAACTGAACCGTTTAATACTTCGGTCACCGGTCCGACCGTCCGGTTCGGTCCGGTTTTAAAATCATTGGTTCAAACCCTTGGACATATTTTCCAAGCAACTTACTTCATCTAAAGCCCATATTCAATTTTGGCCTATTTTCATTAGGCCTTGTATCATGACAAAATCAGCGGCACCAGGAGACAATTTTTCTCCGTCAAGTGCCCCAACCTTGCTTGGCCGAATGTAGTTTGTGAGGATATTTATAATTTCCTTGAAAGCTTTACTGGATGCTTATCTTTTAGGAAAAATTCTTTAAAAAGATACTTAAATAACATAAATTCTGATGCCGGTCATTAAATTTATCAAACTTCTAATTAGATCACATGACACAAAGAAGTATTTTAAAATTTTATAAAATAACTTTAATGCCCTTTTTATCAATAACCAAAGGAGAATTCTACATTAATATATTTCATTTCGTACTTAAAACATTTTAATTTTAAATTAACAACTTTTTATCTCCATAATACACTTGTATAAATCTTTGAATTGAACTCGATAATAATACAACCTTAAAAATTAGTAAGTTCAATTATGTAGTTAACAAGTTTTAGCTTTAGATTTACACTTTTATATCTCTACACCACAATTATAACAAGCTTTTGAATAAAATTTGTTCACAATACAACTTTAAAAATTAACATGTTCTATTTCATAGTTAATATAATTTCATTTCTAAATTCACAACTTTTGGTTTCTATAAACACATTTTCAACAAGTCTTTGAATAAAACTCGATCTCAATACAACTTTGAAAATTAATATATTTCATTTTATAGTTAAACACATTTTAATTCTAAATTAATAATTTTCTATCTTTACAACACACTTGTTGTAAGTTCTTGAATAAATCTTTGTTATCATACGACCTTAAAAATTAACATATTCTATTTCACAGTTCATACGTTTTAATTTTAAATTAACAATTTTATAAAGAGATAAACTTAACTTACCCTTGCCTCCTAAATAGAATGCTTGTGTCGTTTAAAGCTCTTATGCAATAGAAGAGTGATAGAAATTCTTCCTACTAAAAAAGATATTAGAGTTATTTTATAAGATTTTAAGTTCCTAAATAGAATGCTTGTGTCGTTTAAAGCTCTTATGTAATAGAGGAATGATAGAAATTCCTCCTACTAAAAATGATATTAGAGTTATTTTATAAGATTTTAAGTTTTGTGACTTGATCAGAACTTTGGAAAATAATTAAGGACTTTTTTTTGTGGAAAATTGTAAAAAAAGACCTTAAAATTGTAAAAACGCAGATAGGACCCTTGACAACTTCACTTTGGGTTTTGACAACTTTATGACATATTATTATTGTTAAAACCCAAAATGAAGTTGTCAAGAGTCTCTATCTGCATTTTTACCATTCCAAAGTCTTTTTTTTTTTTGCAATTTTCCTTTTTTTTCTATCTTTTAACTTTTACTTCCTGTTATATGGTGATTTTCTAGGTCTTTATATTTCTTTCTCCCGGGAAAAATTATGCCTCTACGTCAGCTTCCTCGAAACGCGTCGGTTCGAACTCCTGATTTATTCCCAAAGAGCCGCCTGCTGCGTCCTGCCCTTCTCTGGAATCAAGATCAAAATCGCTGTTCCCGCTCTGTTCGATAACTCGGGAAGATCGAAGATGGCGAGTGAAAGTGAGCCAGCAAAGCTCCTCTTACCGTACCTTCAACGTGCCGATGAGTTGCAAAAGCATGAACCTCTTGTGGCATATTACTGTAAATCGCCCTCTTCTTATTTTGGATCCGTTTTCAGATCAATGGCAAATTTTTCTTTATTATTTCTTCGCGTCTTTTGAAATTTCTTGTTTAGGAATTTCTGATTTTCCCCGTTGATCCAACTGAGCTTGGTTTAGAGCGTGAACGGAAGATTCTGATACCCTACTTTTCCCTCTTTTTTTTTTTTGTTGGGGTTTTTGAATATGCTAAATTAAGGTCGGTTGTATGCTATGGAACGTGGATTGAAGATTCCTCAGAGTGAACGCACCAAGACCACAAATGCTCTACTTGTATCGCTCATGAACCAGCTCGAAAAGGTGCAATCACAGTGCTGTTAGTTTTCATCATGTTGTGAAACTTTAATCGCTCTCCTAGGTTTGTGAGATGAAAGTGCATGCTGTTGTGTGACAATTTTGTTGAGATCGCCTTCAGTTGTGTAAGTAGGTTTGAAGTATGATAGTTTTTACTAGTTCCACCAATTTTAATTTTCATAGTAACGTATTGTTTTCTTATTAATATTTATGCGAGAAATTGTCATGAGCGCGCTAGTCTTTGATTATTCTTTCTAGTTATCTTCAATTTCCTGATTTCTTGTCACTGTCATTGTGTTTGGAGCTAGATTTTGGAGCCTAAAACTTGCTTATGATTCCATATGTTTCAATGACAGTCTGCGGTTATTTTTTCGTCCGGTTTGAATGGGATCCTACTATCGATGAGCCTTTTTATTATCTTTTTAATGTGCTGTTCTGTAATAACCTCTTATTATTTGATTTCGTAGATCTTAAATTTAAATGTTTATTTAATAAGGTGATTTGGTTTCATGCCATTAGTATTAAGCGCTTGTAGTTGATCCAAATGATTAGCTTTTTTCCTTCCATTCAGGATAAAAAGTCAATCAAGCTGGGACCTGATGATAATTTACATCTAGAGGGATTTGCCTTAAACGTCTTTGCGAAGGCTGACAAGCAAGATCGTGCTGGACGTTCAGATTTGTATGTTAACCATTTATATAAGCTGTAATTATCTTTTAAGCTTGTCTGTTCCACTGTTAGTATGTTATGCTGTCATTCTCTTATCTTTTATATAAGCTGACAAGCAAGAACATGGAAGAATCACGACTTTGGATTAGATACTGTCAGTATGTTATTCTGTTGTTTTTAAGTTTTTCATTATAATGTGTTTGGGAACTTGGGAACCTATTACTATTTATAGTTCCTGCGTCCTGCGATATTCAAAGCATCTTATTCTATTCATTCCTATAAACAGTATTTCATCTTATTTTCTGTTTGTTTATTTCACTTTTTCTGTAGTTAAGATTTTAGATACTTGGGATCCCCAACGTTTGTTTTAGAGGATCAATTTTTTCCCCTTCATGATCTTATTCATTGCTTTTCTACATATAGGGAGAAATTTTGAGGAAAGCGAGAGAACTTATTTGCTTTCTGTGCATTGCATCCTAGTTTCATTAATGTTCTGTAGAATAAATAAACACTGCGGAGAGGGATTGTGATGCAATCCTTGAAGATGAGGAACAGATAGATAAAATACTAACAACCTGATCTAATGATCAAATATCACAAAACAAAGCCAAAGTGAAATCATAATTAAACACATACTAATAATATCTCAATCTACTCCTAGAATCTCGAAACTAACAACATTCCCTCTCTTTCATTCTAGAAATTCCTACTTAAACGTAAAAACTTGATAGTGATATTTGTTGGCCATCAAAAGTAAAAACTCAAAGTAA